GGGTGGGGGTGGGGTGGTGTGTGGGGTGGGGGTGGAATCATCAAGATAAAGGGTGGGAAGATCATTCACGGTGTCTTTTTTTTTTTCATGTTTTCTGGAATTATTTTTTATCAGTTAATTATTTTATTTATGTTCATCCCAAATGTTGCCCCCCTCCTTGTCCCACCTCACAGGATGGGAGGGAGGATGGGGAAGAACCATAGTGTCTTTTTTAATTGCTCTCCACCGTTTTCTTTTTTGAGACAAGATCTCTCATTGAACCTACAGCTAACATTTTCAAATAGACTGGGTGGTTAATGAGACCCCAGGATCTGCCTGTCTCTACCCCATCCCCAATACTGGGGCCACAGATTTTTGTGCACCCATGCAGCAAGCCCTCTACTGACTGTACTATTTCCCCCACCTCAAGGCTGTTTTCTCCCCCACCCCTTCTTCCTGTCACTAGCTCAGTCGTAGCACACAGCCTGCCCGAAATATGACCCCATCATCCATTCGAATTCTTCCAAGTCCAGTCAGGAACACTTTGCCTTTGGGGATAATTGGTCCAAGAGATTACAGTTAGAGGTTGGGATACAGGACATAGGTGAAAGAGGACCTGAACAGTAAGCAAGATGGTGTACAGCCTGGGGTGAGAGGCGAGACGATGTGCCAGGGGTGAGAATCTGGGGGGATTGAAGTTCAGGCTTTATGTGGAGAAACCTCAAAGCCACTGAAGAACAGAAAAGGAAGCAAACAGACTTTTCTTTAGGTTCACTCTTCCAAATAATAGGTATGCTTACCACAGAATCTCCCCATGTTTGGCCGCCCTCCAAAGCTAACTTCTTCTTGGCTCTATTAAAATAAACATCTTTATTGACTAGAGCTGGGGATATCAAAGAAATTTGGGGATTTCAAATTTTTTCATCATTATCGTTGAAAGACATTGCCACATTTGATATGAGACAGAGGGATAAAAATGAAGGCAGTCTCGTGTTTGCTTCAAGACACATAACTAAAATTGGAACGGTACAGAGATGATTAGCATAGGCCCTACACAGGAGGCCACTCATGTCTGTGAAGCATTCCACATTTTTTTAAATAATGAAGAAATTCTCAGGGCATAGTTCTAGATTGTGAGGTGAGTTTCTTCCGAAATCTAGAATATTCCATCTCAGGCTGAGGAGATGTGGAAGAAGGGTGTTGTCAGAACAGTCTTCCTTCTCCTTTCTTGTAATATATTTCAAAGTGAATGCATTGCTAAGTTATGCATCTACTCATTTGAGCACTCGAGACAGTGACAGCTAGATTAGCTTGTGTCAGTATTTAGCATGTCCCCGAATCACCTCAAGTTCTTATTTTAAAAATCAGACTCCTGGATACTATCCCCAGAGTTTCACAATGTCCTTGAAGCAAGTGTTTGAGGAAGAGACTTGGGCAGCACTGAGTAAAGATTTGGGCATAGCAAATAGTTCTTCAGTCACAAATGAACTCTAAGCAGTTGAGCTTGTCTGTTGGAGCTCTAGGCTGAGACAAGGTCTGAATATAAGCCATCAGTTGATGATGTCTGCTGTGGGCAGAGCATGGACAGCTGAGGCACAAAGGGCATGGGTTTCTCATTCCTATAGCAATCACTCACAGCATGAGTCCTTCTTCTTCAGAGCTGTGCTAATCACCTCGGCATTATTCTGGCTTTAGTTTATGTATGCCAAAGAGATTACGAGAATTCCTTCATTCACATCTGATACAAGGGTCTCTGTGCACAAACAGACCCAGGAAGTCTGTCTTTTCAGCCCATGCTGTAGGAAAACCTGTGAGGGGATACATCCTAAAATCAAAAGTGTGGTTTAATACAAAGCATAGTGCTGTGACAGGAGCAGTAACAGGAGCAAGGAAGTATGCCTATCTGAACAGAAGACAGCTGAGTCTGCTCCTGGAGAATAAACAGGAATGTTCCAGGTGAAAGAAGGAGAAAATATACCAGACAGAGTTGAGTACAGACAATGCAAACAAGCATACTAGAGAAGTATGTTTCCTGGAATTTGGTTATTTACACACACATGCACACATGCACACACGCACATGCACACACATGCACACACATGCACACACAGGCACACACGCACATTTTCCTGACTCTTCTTCACTACTATGTCCTAGCCCCACAGACATGCTGTTTCTCAAAGTTTTAAGACTTCCGGGGTGGGGGCATTGGAGGAGTTGGGACAAGGGAAGGGAATGAGGAAATGATGTAATTATATTTTAATTAAAATTTCAAATAATTAAACAAAAGACTTATGGCGTTCCCACATGAAATCTTTGCCTCCCTGTAGGCCAGTCTGTGTTCTAATGTCTCGGTTTAAATGTCAACTCTTGCTCAACAGAGAGTCACCAGAACTTAGTGTGGGGGTAGGGTGCACGTACCTGCTGAAGTACACCATATGTCAGGCAGAACAGAAGGAAGCAAAGCTATGCAACCCAGACAAGTATGAATACCTAACCTCTATACACTCACCTGGCCACACCTGGTCAAGGCAGTGGCCATTTCCCCGTATATACTGTCTTGCCATACATGAATTACACATCTAACAAACTGGGAAACTACACACTAAGTTCCTCCACCCCTTCTCATCCCCATACCAGCACTGTAACAACCTTCAAATGCCACACCCATGCAGACACACATGCACACAGAACTGCAGAGGTAGAGTGGAGGAGAGAGGGAAGGGGGAGGGACAAAGAGCAGGAAAGAGAGAGCAAATCCACAGAACTGGAAGCAGAAGACACAGTGTTTTCTTTTTTTCTACCCATCACCTTGAAAGCACCACTTCTTGGCTTATATAGTTCACAAATTTTGGTTGAGCATCAGTTACATGCCAGACACACTATGTATTAAAGATACAGAAGTAAGACTTCCCTCCTTCTGCAGCACAAGTAATAGCTGGGGACCCAGAAATCCCACAGGCAGATGCAGCTGTGAACAGCAATCACCATAAGAAAATAAAATTGAATAATCAGAAAAGGGAGGGCATGGAGAGGACAGGAAGAAAGGGAACGACTTTAGCTGGACTAACAAAAATGTGTGAGGTGCGCAGGTGTCACTGGGGAGAGGATGGCGGCTAGGAAGCCAATCCTGCAAAGATGTAAGAGACAAAGACTCCATGGTGAAGCACCACCGTAAAGTAGGAATGAGCCTGGAAGCTTCGGGTGGCAGATGGAAGGTCCATAGAGCTAGCATGTGTCAGTAAGGGAGAAGAGCTGCAAAACGGAAATCTGGCTGGAGAGTTGGGAAAGACGCAGACCAGGCCCTTACTCAAAAGCAGCAGTGTAGAAATGTAGCTCATTGGGGAGCATACTTGTGTAGCATATGCAGGAAGCCCTGAGTTGGATCCCCTGGGGCCACATAAACCAAGACTACCCCTTCCATTCTAGTACTTGTGGAGTGATGGCAGGAGAATCAGAAGCTACATAGCACTTTTAAGGCCCTCTCACAAATTGCAGAAAAGAAGAAAAGAAATGAGTCCCAATTGTATTTGTGACTATGAACCCTGCAGGCTGTAGACAATTAATCATAAGGTACAAAGGACAGCCTAGGAAGAGTAGCTGCCCAAGAGATAATGTCTTCCTCTTGATCTACATAGCAGCACCATAATGCCCATTGCATGGATGAAAACAACTGAGCATCCACATAGTTCATATAACATGATGAATGTCGCATGACTAAGAAATAACAGCCAAGATTCACTCGTGTGTCTAAGCAAAGCATGCAGCATACATGCCATTAGCAAGCTCCACACGTCTCTGTCATGAGATGGAGCTGAGGGCCGTTTTCAGAGTCATGAGAATCCAGACACATGGATTCCCAGGCCCTCAAATCTACAACCACCAACTCAGACATGAATAAAAGGGCGTTCTGAAAGCCAAACCCAGCAGCCCATGAAGCAGAGACTCTTAGGAGAGTCGCCTTGTACATGTGGAGTGTTTACATTAGACCTGTCTGTCTTAAAATCCAGCGAATATTATACTGCATGTTCACTCTGTGCCAGGTAGTCTGCCAAGTACTTCCCATGTTGGATCCCTTACCAACCACATTATGAGGCCGTTCCTGTGGTAGGGAAGAAAATGATGGAGATCTCTACTTGATTGCCTCCTGGCAACACGAGAAATACCCTGAGAGCCTTTTCCATGTTCCAGTGGCTCTTCAGATACCTCTGTAACATGCTGCACAGTAGGAACTCAAGTGTAGCCAGTGAAGGGTGCCATATTCCTCGAAATCACTCACTATACACATACGCGTGTGCGCACGCGCACGTGCACACACACACACACACACACAGAGCTGGGCCACCTAACTTTCCTGGTGATTCTGTGACATTCTGCTCATCGCCTCAATTTTGTGAGTGAGAAGCTGAGGCTCTTCTAAGCTTTCTCCTTCTAAGCTAAAACTCTAACTCTGGCTTCCCAAAGGTGTGGCTGTTATCCTGAGGTCTGAGGAAACCATAAGAATGGAAACATGAATCTGGGGTAAAACTAGAGGGTAGAGTTGGTGATAGTAACAGTCTTGTCCCAACTCTGCTCTGCTCAAGTCAAAGGCAGGACTGTTTACCTTTTATTTTTGTAATGAATTAAAATAAATTGAAAAGAATGATTGTCCAATTGTTGACTCACTGATGCTATCCTGGGCTATGTGTCAGCACTGGCATGGGATTGATGCAGGGGAAGAGTTAAGGCTTGAATTATTATCAGAATTAGGGTGCTTTATTGGTTCACATCACCCAATCTTCCCCAGCCATTATGGCTTCACCAAAACATTAAACTACTCTAAACTTTCATTTTCCTCTTAAAACTAAATTAGTTCAGAGGAAATTGTGTTTTCTGAGCTCCAGTTCCAGCCTCAGGCAGAGGGAGTTACAGTACAGCGCACAAATAAACAACAATCATGGCCTAATTACTAAGTAGCAGAAGCATCCCTGTCAAGTGACAGGGTCCTGGAGGGAGGCAAGGCTCAAGTGGATGCCTCTGGAAGCCTGGAGATATTGACATGGTAATCTTCTGCTCCTCTAGCCCTGAAATCCAAAGACAAAGGACTGGCTAAGGCACCTGCCAGGTCCCTGTCCCTGGATGCTAACCTATGCTATCCTGTGCCTACTGCCATCATTGAGATCCCTGTTGGGGTAACCATAGGAATAGAATCTGAGCCAACTGTCGACCTCAGTATATGGCTGAAACCGAGCCATTCATTAAAGCTAAAACTATTGGATTAAGATCTATTTGCTGAGGCTCTGTTGCGTGTCAGAAAATGTACTGTACTCCTTGTTTTTAATCATTATCACACATCTATTCTCTCTGTCTACCCTTTTTGATAAAATATTCCTTTCATGCCAAGCATCTATCAAATCCTTTTGGCTTTGAGATTAAAGATAAGCCTATCATAGACCTTCCAACAATGGAGTGGTTGAGGCTAAGCCAAGCACAGGACCACAGTCATTGCAGGACATTGGTCATTTGATTACCCCTACACCAGCCATAGGACCTCAAATAGCCCAAAAGTAAAGCTGAGCCCAACACACAGTATCAGTCATGTGACTGAAGCTAAGCCGATTGTAGGATCTTACCATTCTGACATAGGATTGGTTCAAGGGCAGCAGTAGTTGGAAGTCAAACCAATCACAGTTTTTCTCCAGGATTTTTCTGCTTAGAGCTAGAAATAAGGTCTATCCTCCCAGATCTAGAAAAGTACAACTTTTATCTATCAATGGCCATGGGGGTGAAAGCTATCCTCAGAAAGACACAAAAGTGGTGAGTGGGTGTGGCAGGCCTGGAAAGCTGAGGTATGGAAGATAAAGATTACTGTCTCTGTGACAAGACTCCCATTCTGTCAGTTGCATTGCCCAAGCCCATAAATCATCCCAGCTTTCACCTCCTGTGAGTTTAGTCAAGATGGAGTCCTGTCATGAGCAGGTAGGGGCTGAAGGATGGCCTCACGGCCTCACCTCAATAGCTAACACATACTGAGCAAGCCCTGCAGACAGGCACCTACATGACTCATTTCATTGAGTTCCTAAACCCATAGAACTATGAAGGTGGTACCAAGGAG